CCCCCTCCGCCGCACCGCGGGCTGATCCCGGGGCTCCCGGCCCGCCCCCGCCCCGCCCCGGCACCGGGAGGGGCCTCGGCACCGTCGAGCAGCGTCCCCCGCCCCGGGGGGGCTCTGGGGTGGCGGCGAGCGGAGCCGCCGTACCGGGAGGCACCGGGACCCGCGGCGGCGGCAGGAGGAGCGGGACGCGCCGCACCTCGCTTAACCTCTGTCCTGGCAGCGGGTCCGCTCACGGCCCAGGGCGGACACCGGGGATGAGCCCGGTCCCAGCCCCGCGGAGGACGGAGCTGGCCCCGCACGAGCCCTCCCCAGAGACACGACAGAGCCGGGTGACATCAGGCTACCATTTATTGTAAAAGGCCGCGGTGCCCGCGGTGCCCTGAGCAGGCTGGGCCAGGGCCAGGGCTGGGAGGAGGTATCTCAAAGTGCTATTTACACCGAGCTCCGGCTGCGTGTGCCCGGAGTCCACCCTGCCAGGGATCCTCTCCGTGTCCCGCTGCCCCCATCCCCACCTGTGTCCCCTTCAGTAAAAGCTCCTCGCAGCTCCCCGGGCCTGGCTCGTGCTCGGGTCCTTCCCTGAGTGTCCCTGGCACTCCCTGGCGCCGTCAGGGCTGGTGGCAGCGCCTCGCGGCACCGCTGTCGGCTGGGCGACCGTGCCCGCAGGGCAGCCCAAGGCGTCGTGGCAGACGGTGCCCGAGTGCTGCCCGCGCTTGCCCATGGTGAGGATGCCCGCAGCGTGGTTGCCGGAGCCGTGGAGCAGGCGGTAGAGCCGGCTCTGGAAGGCCAGGGGCACGCTCTTCCTCTTGCCCAGCGTGAGGATGCCGGCGGCGTGGTTGCCCATGCCGTGCAGGAGGTCGTAGACACGGCAGGAGCAGGTTTTCTGGCGGCAGCAGTGGGGCAGGCTCTGCCGGGCAGCAGCCAGCGAGCAGAAGAGCAGCAGGAGCAGGAGGCAGGCAGCTCGCTGGGGCTGCCAGAGCAACGGGCAGCGTTAGGGCAGAGACAGGGACTGCCCAGCCCAGGACTGTCCCCTCTGCTGTGCACACTGGTGTTCAACTCCCCCCTGCCCTGCCTGTTGCTGCAGGTGCACCTGGAGCCTCACCCTTCACTGCCCTGCTCCTCACTGTGCCCACAGCCGGGTGTGGGTGTCCTCACTGCACTGCCCTGCTCCAGCACACAGCAGCTGTGGCAAGAACTCTTCTCTCGCTGTCCAGTGCCACGGGACAAGCAGTGAAAGCACCCGTGCTGCAGGCACTGCATGCCCAGCTCCCTCCCAGGCAGGTCCCTCATCAGCTGCTGGCTACAGTCAGGGATTCCCAGGGATTTGCTGCACACTCAGAGCTTCCCAAGAAACCAGCCAGGCCCTCCCACACCCCCAGCCCAACATTCTGACCTGCCACCCATCACTGTTCTCTCATCCCCAGGTGCTGCAGCACCCCAGCCCCACCTTGGTGTTGGGCACCTCCATCCTTCCTGGGGTCTTCATGTGGCTGAGCAGCTCTGGGGCATGTCCCATCAGGCAGCCGACAGCGCAGCACCCTGCACTGCCACTGCCACTTTATAGGGCCTGCCACAATAGGGCTGCCAAAAATACCTGGGGCAGCGGGAGCAGCCGGTGTCCGGGAGACGTGGCAGCGCTGTGGCCGGTAGCCCGGAGACCGTGCAGGCCTTTCCCCTCATTTGCAGCTCCCCATTGTGAGGGTAGGGGTGCCTGGCACTAATGAGGCCGTAATTGCCCACGGGCCGTGCTGCTGGGCTGGCACAAAGGGGCTGAAGGTCAGCGCTGGCCGGCTCTGACAGCAGCGCAGTGTGCGGGGCCGCTGCTCAGAGCCCTCTCTTAATTAGGCTAATTAAGGGGTGCCAGCAGCTGCACAGCTCCCTGACTGACGTGAGGAGCTCTCACCCTGCCTTTGGCTGGTGCCAGGGAGGGATAGTGCCACCAGGGTCCTGTACCCGGTGCCACCCTCCATCCCCTGTGGTGACACCGTCCCGTCCTGGTGCTGTGCCTGGAACAGAGGGAGCCACAGGCACCAGGGAGGTCTTGCACTCTTTATAACCCAGACCCCAGACCACCTCCAGCCTTTGCTTGTGCTGAACTCCCTTGCCCTGGGGTTGAACCCAAACATTTCCTTGATGCCAGCAGCCACATCTGCTGTTCAGGGACACCCTGACTGCACCCGTGAGCCTCCCAGTCCCTCTGCATAGTGGGGACCCCAGGGATGCTGTAGAGGTGACAGGAGCAGCCAGGATCCTTCTGCCAGCCAGGTTTTCCCCAGGGCTGGTGGAGTCCAAACCTGCAGCCCTGGGGAGGGTGGGCAGGAGCCCAGACCTGGGGCTGCTTTTCCAAGTGGCATCTGGGGGTACATGCACATGGCACTGGGGTACCCACTGGCCCCTCAGCAGAGAACTGGCTCCAGAAGCAGATGGAGGGGACGGATGAGTCCTCTGGGAGCCTGGCAGGGCAAGAGGGAGCAGAGACATCTCTCCAGTGAATTCTGAAGCCCCTCAACACGGCAGAGCACAGGCACCCAGCCTCACACACGTTCCCCGGGCAGGCTGGGGCTCCCTGCTCCCGGCCCCTGCGGCCAGGGGTGCTCAGTCCGGGCCCCGAGCCCCAGGCCGGGGTCAGCAGGACGCTGTGTCGCCACCTCCGTCCGTCTCCGGGATGGGCTCCAGCGGGGCTTGCAGCCGAGAGGGCTCGGGCGAGGCCGCCCCGTTCCTGCCGATGCCGCAGGACTGCCCCGCGTTGTGGATCTGCCACAGGTTGTCCAGCGCCTCCGCCTTGGCGTGCTTCAGGAGGTCAGCCTGGCCCTGCGGGAGGAGATTTGGGGGGTGTTGGGGTGGAGCAGGAGGGTGGCAGGGCAGGGCAGGGCAGGGCAGGGCAGGGCAGGGCAGGGCGGGTCTGTCCTCGCCCCTCACCTTGAGGACAGTGATGTTCCAGGCGAAGCTCTCCAGCGCCTTCTGCAGCTTGCGGCCCCGCAGCCCTTCCTTGGTCTCGATGCGGTGCAGCTCCTTGTGGAAATCCATCCCTGATTGACGGGAGAGGTGCTCAGTGCCTGCAGGGACGTTGGCACAGGGACAGCCACCACCCACACCAACAGGGACCGAGCCAGAGGGATGCCCTTTGCCCACCAAGGGATTGCAGGCTGGGTGGGCTCCCCACCACTCCAGCAGCCTCAAGAATGCTCCATGCCTCAAATGATGGGCCAATGGACCCCCCCAAATCCCATCCCCATGGCCAGCTGCACCCTGTGGCCGTTCTGCACCCAGACACCACAAGGTCCTGATGGGCAGTGAAGACCCTGGGCAGAGGCACAACTCCTGCACTCCACGGCTCATCGTGGGGCATTCAGAGCAGCGCCACCAGCCCCCCCCCCATGGCTGCGGGCCCCCCCACGTGCCATCCCCGTGAGTGGGTGCTATATTTACCCCTGGTGACGCAGCAGCGGCTCGGGGCCCACGCCGGGGCTCCCACGCAGCTCGCTCGCCCTGGCGCTGCCAATCAGCCCGCCCACAGCCCCGCGCCCCCGCCCGGCTCCCCGGGGCCCCAGCTCCTGCCAGCCTGCGCTGGCACCGCGGCAGCTCGTCCACAGCACGGCCAGGGTGACAGCAGGGACCACCAGGGCACGGGGCTGGGGGCTGCAGCTGCCGAATCGCTGCCTGCCAGCACCCCGAGGGGCTGCACGCCCCAGAATCCCCCTGCTCTGCACACACAGCTGCACACACAGCACCAGCGTGTGCCCTGCGGCTTGTGCCCCGCTGCTCCTCTCCCCCAGGGCTCGCGGCAGCGGCAGAGCTGAGCCAAGAGTTTGGGGAGATTTCCGTCTGCCGCGTGGGCAGGGAACAAACGCGGCTGCTGGCAGCAAGGCTGGCATGGCGGGGACAGCAGAGCAGGGCCCCCTCCTTCTTCCCAAGCCTCTCCAGCTCCTGACACTCTCCCAAGCCCCACAGGGAGCCCACAGGAGCCCCTGGAGCTGGGGGGGCTATCCCTGCGGGGTCCCAGCCAGCAGAGGGGCCTGGAGTGGGGCCAGAGGTCCAGGGCAGCTGCCAGAGTGGGGGCACCTGCAGGGAGGACCAGGGCAGGCAGCAGCAGCACCTGCCTGTGTGGGTTCTGCCATGTGTTTGGGAAGTCTTAACACTCAGTTGCCATTTCTGCCGTCAGCCCCAGCCTGTTATTTCTGGCACTAATTATGTTCTGGCGTTTGACAGCTAATGACTCTTCCCCGCTTCCTCATCAGCCTCCCCCACTCTGCCTGCTCCCTACCACACAGCTCTGCAGCCCACTCACCCACACCGTGCCCCAGTGCAGGAAGCCCTGAGCCCCCCAGGATGTGTCTGGTCCACCAGCAGAGCCAGGGCAGAGCTGGGGGTGCCCTCCAGGACCCACCTGCCTGCTGTGCCTGGATGAGCTTCCCGTACACGGCGTCAGCAGACTCGATCAGCGTCCGGCTGGTCTGGATCATCTAGGGACAGGGGCAACATGAGCAGCTGGGCAGCCCTGGCCCATCAGGGGCTGCCCCCTGCACCTGCACGGTGCCCAGGTCTGGCCCTTCCCACCTCACCACACACGGCCGGGTATGGTGTGACCACCACGTGGCCAATGGCCAGGTTCCCTTCAACACAAAAGAAGGAAGCAGCTCTGGCTGTGGCTATTAATGGGATTTCTCCCACCTGGGTAGGGGCTGCAGTGTCCAAGGGTCAGACTGATCAAGGCAAGACTCTTCATTGGCAGCCCTCATGCAGTCCCTGGGCTGTGCACCCTCCCATCACCCCAGTGAGTTCAGGGTTCCCCATCCTTGGACCTTCTGATCCATCCCACAAAACCTGCCTGGGTTTATCCCATAAAACCTAATCAGGATCACCCCACAAAAACTACTCAGGTTCATCCCACAAAACTTGCACCAGCAGTGAGTGTTGGTCCCGGTGTCACTGACCCCAGGGAGCCTCCCAAGCCTTGGCAGGACAGCTCTTACCGTGTCGTAGGCAGTGAGGACCTTGCGCAGCAGGTCGGGGATGGGGCCCTGGGCCTCCATGGGGGGGTACTGCTCTGCCAGGTTGAGGGTGACGCTGGGTGCGCTGTCACTGTGCAGCAGCCACGTGGACACCGTCAGGATGCACTGCTTCATGTTGGCAGCGGGTGTCAGCCCACACAGCTCCTTGAAGGACACCAGCGCATTCTGCAGAGACCAGCGTCCAGTCAGGAGTTCAGCTAGGGGGACCCGACACAGGAACGCCCCCATTTCCCACAGCTCTCTGCTCCAGGTAAGGCTCCTCTCCCAAATTCCCCAGGAAAAGGGGAACAGCCTGGCTCCCCACCGCTCTCAGCCCAGCCCCACCCTCCCCTGAAGAAGCCAGGTCCCCTGGTGCCCTCTGCAGGGTCCTACCTGTACGTTCTCCCGCAGGTCAGTGGCCTCCCGCAGCGGCTGGGTGGCCGTGCGGAACACCTCATCGATGGCTTTGATGCCGGTGGCCTTGGTGGAGGTGTACTCCCTTACGCGGCGGCCCCGGCGCCCTGCCAGCCCCCGGCGGTGCCCCTTGCCCCCGCCGCGGCGGTCGGTGATGGCCACATGCACAAAGAGGGTGGCGTGGGGCAGGGGCTCCCCGGCCAGCGACTGCAGGGGGACGTGGCGGTAGCCGGGCTGCAGGCACTCGAAGGGGATGGTGTACTGGGCAATGAACTCGTCCCCGATGTAGTCGTCGTCCAGCACCACGAAGCGCAGGACGGCCAGCTCCGGCAGGTTGATCTGGAACTCCAGGCTCTCGTCGAAGATGGGGTTGTCCCCGCTCTGCAGGGCGGTCTTGGTGCGGTGCTCGGCGCAGTCGGCCGGGATGCCGTGGATTTCAGCGCAGACGTAGGGCTCCACGACCTCCCCCTTGGCCCCCGAGCCCTTGGGCTTGGGCAGGTTCTGCCCGCTGATGACCTTGAGGTGTAGGAGCTGGGCAGGCACGCCGGGCAGCGAGTCCTTGGCGTTGGCACTGAAGTAGGAG